TTTTCTTTTTAGCAAACTGATTAAACTTTATTGGTTATTACTTTTTTCTTTTTTTCTTTTTTCTTTTTTGCCTAAAATACTCGCAATAGTTTCAAAACATCTTTAAATTAATTTCGCCCAGGCTTAGTCTCTTTCTCAGAATGGATCCTATATCTGTATCCTTCTCTTTTCTCCTTACCAAATACCTTCAATTTCCCAAGCCAGCCTTGGCAGTAAAAATAAATATTTTAGTAAGGACAAGTTTTTCAGTGTGATACTGTCGAGCACTTCACACAATTCTTTATCTTTATACATCTCAAGTATTTAATGTAAACATGTGACACAGTTTCCTTTTGATAAATTTGATATCCCAATATAAAGTGATCTTTTTCATCTCCCCCCAACAATGAAAACATAAAACTGAAACATCACCATCATCATTTCAGAACAAAGTGAGCAGCTCACAATGTAGGTATCTTGTCCATACTTCTATCCAGGACTCTGAGAACCTCCTCTTATCCAATGCTGGCCACTTATCCTGAGGTATATATGTGAGGCATGACAGTGTTTACACCTGAAGTAGCAACAATGGAATGCAAACATGGTGCACACCTACTCCTTACTGTCTTTAACCTGATACAAAAAGAGAAAAGCAAAAGAAGAAGAAAAAAGGACAAGCAGAGCATACAATTTGCTAATTCAAAAAACAAATAATGACACCTTACTTGCCAAGATACATGGTCATAAACAAATATTCTTGATGGAAAATAAACAGAAATAAAAATCTAACGAACTTAGAAAGTGTAAAATATAAATTTGTCAATAACAGCCTGAAGTGACCGCCCAACCTCATCCAACTTATACTATCTACAGAGGCATTATCAAGTAAACACCATTCTCATATAAAGACAAAAGATTCCATCTCATACATTATGTAAAAATAAATAAATAAAAACAATCATAATAATAAAAAATATATAACGACACATCAGGCTGCCATTAAATGCCATTAAAAGGAACAGGCACATCACATATCAGGATTGTCAACAACACAGAGCAGCATATCACACAAATATTGCCTACAATATGAAATAAATAAGTACAGTCCAGTACCACAGCCATGTTAGTTATACTACTGGATTAATATCTCTTTTTTTTTAATACCCGCAAAGGAATTTTGCACTTTATCTCATTTTTTTTCTTTTAAATACAGCATCAAAAGCAGTATTTTCTTTTAATATTATGACTAATATAATAAACCTCATATTTACCTTCAGTAACCCCTTGTGATCATCTATGTAATTCATATGACAATCACACAGGCAAGATAACTGAAAATGGTATATTTTAAAGTTATATATATATATTCATTTATTTCCATATGCTCTAATATTATCTAAATATGTGTATTCACTTACTCTAATATTCTTTATCCCTTATTAACAAAGATGTTAAATATATGCACATCATAAAAAGAAAAGACAAAAATCTTTCCCTTCCACCAGTGATTTTTGAAATGCAACAAAATACGACCCCACTCCAAGCAGGGTCCCTGTGCAACTCTGTCACTGGGAAGAACAACAGTGCTGAGGCTATGAAGGCAGGTGAAAGGGAGCCCATTTCGTCTAATCCTCGTCTTCTGTTTTGTTACTCCCATACACAGATATACATCTAAATCAGATACTTTTAATTTTAGAAATAAAGTGACAGAAAAAAAAGAAGAGTAGACCCCTAATCAAAAAGGGGATGAGCAGAGAAAAAAAAAAAAAAAAAAAAAAAAAAAAAAAAAAAAAAAAAAAAAAAAAAAAAAAGAAAAGAAAAAAGTAGGGGGGGAAGGGATAGACAAATTATATGTACTTTTCTACAAAAAATATATATATATAAATCTGCAAGTACACATATGAATATCCGCAACATTATCTTTCTGTAATAATTTTAGGGTCAAAATTTCAGTCAAACATCTAAAAAATTCAAATACTGAAAAAGAAAGAAAAAGACAGTTTTGGTCAGTGTCTGTCTGCTTATAATACCTCAAAGCATAAAGTTCTTATGCCTAGATTTTTGTGCTTGTATTTACATATCCTTCCTAACTCTCGAGATCTAATGGCTGAATATCCAGTAAATATATTTATGTCTATTTCTTTGCAACTAAGTAACTTTTAATTTTGAAAAAGAAGTGATTTGGGCTCATGGATTATAAAGCAAGAAATTCCTTACTTTACTTAATACTATGAAGCAGGTCTGTCAAAAATAACATCTAGTAACCAAAAAGAACACGAAGGTCATGTGACATTTACCAATATCAGAGTCCAACAAAGTGGAGACAAATTTCATAAGCTTATATTAATGTTGATGCTGCCAGTTTCTAGTGACAAACACTGACTCATTCAAAAAGAAAAAAAAGAGAGAGAGAAAAAAAAAGTTTAAAATCAATGATTAAATAAAAATAATTGATAATACTGCGGAAATAACCAAACCTTTTTCCACAATTTTCAAATGCTAATACATGTTCTTTCTTTCCCATTCTTTTTTAAATGCAACCTAACATAATTTAGCAACACCCTTAAAGACCCGTCATTGGGCACTTCAGAGAAATATTCTGGTATGCCCAATATAAAAGCTAATAACAAAATAAATGAACAAATTAACATCATATCTAATTGTCAGCGATCCATAAAAATATAATCAACAGAGGCTAATTAAACTATGTCACAGTTACTGTGGCTTTGATCTGAATTCCATAAAAAAAAAATCTTAAAACAAAATAATAATAATAAAATACTTGTCAGGGGGGAGGAGGAGGATTTACTGTTCAACTTATAAGTAATTGAGCCTCATCTGTAACATATGCATCTCTCCTGTTTCACTGGCATTATAAGTGCAGCAGAAATACAGAGTAATATATGTATACATTTCTACTCATCATAATATTTTTCTTCTTGCTCATGTATTGTTAAATTAGGTTACACATTGGACAGCTTTTTATGTTTTTGCCATTTCTTGTAGAGAATATTATTGGACAGGGTTAATATATCACTGCATCAAAATTACAACTCAAAATATTCCTATATACAACCCATCCCTTTATCACAACTCAGTTTATATTACCTCATAACCTTTTCTTAGATGGTGGATTATGCTCCAATAAATTTGATATTTCTATAATACATTGGATAAGCAGAATATATCTAATAATACTAGTACATAATTCTCAAGGAAAAAAAATGCATATTCCTTTACAACCTCTCGGCAGCATCTTGGAAGTATATATGAATATAAAAAAAATCCTTTGTTATCGATATAGATGATGCTTGCATTACCCACAACTAATATCACCTGAAGAACCTCTCATGAAAGCCATCACATGTATAGTTTTACAGCCTCATCACTCAACTTGGGGTGACTGACTTGACAAACGGTCTGTGAATGGAAAAGACAGTCGTTTATGTACATACTAAGGAAAATAATTATATTTCATTCTCCACACTTTTACAGTTTTGTGAACTTGGATATTACTCTGGACCCATCTACAGAACAAAATTAAAACATGCCAAGCTGGTAACTTACATGATGGTTGACAGATCCTTTGATTCAGCCAAAAGTTTGAAAGAATCACCAAACACCTTTTTCACTCTTTCAAATACTTCCTCATCATAAACAGATCTTGCTGTGTTGGTCAGATCAAAAGGTTCTGTTGGATATGAAGGGAAATCTTAAGAAACAACATAAGAAACATAATCATAAAAATACAAGTCTTCAAGCAAACAACTCATATAAACAAAAATTTCGAAACAAAGCACACATGGCAAGGTAAAAAGCACTGTAAATAAACAAACAACCTTCAATGCACAGATATTTCCACATGCGCCAATCGTTCTTGCGAGACCTGACAGAACGGCACTGGCTCGTTGGCATGGTTCCTCCAGTCCTTACTGAGATTGTGTCCTCTATAAATCTGTAATCATATATCCAAATAAAACTATCAATTCAATTAACCACTTGCAAATATATATCAAGAGTAGGAAAGATCTTTAAAAAATCATAAGCATAATGCATGTGGAAGTAATTAGATGGAGAGAGAAATATCTAAATTTATAATAAAAGAATATTTCTAACCAAGAGCATGATTGCAGTATTATGTTTATAATAATTATCATTCAGCATCATTTTTTATCCAAAGGGGCTAATTATGAGCAAACTTACGTGAAAGTATTCGCAAAATAATCCAGGAACCCATGGAAAAGTTTTCCTAAGCTGTCATGGTTGTTAGATGTGAAAGTGGGCATCTTTTCAGTGACTGGGATGCTGAGGATGTGAGCATTGGGCCGGAATTTTTCGCCAAAGGCCCTTTGAAGGCATGGCAATAAAGGTGGCTCTGTTCCATCTGTCAGAGAATATGTATATATTCATATAATTAGTATTAAGTTGTAAATGCAAGAAAATGTCATCACATATTATTGCTATGAACTACTGACATACATAATTCCCTAAATGAACTTTGTGTATCTATAAATTGCAGTAAATGAAGAGTTAATATAATGCAGTGGAGATAAGTTTGTTTGTTTTCTTATAAAATTCTCTGTCTATCTGTGTCTCTGTGTGTCTCTCTCTGTGTGTCTCTGTGTCTGTCTCTGTCTCTGTCTCTGTCTCTGTCTCTGTCTCTGTCTCTGTCTCTGTCTCTGTCTCTGTCTCTAAATGGAACCTCAACCTCAACATATTTTCATACTATTACATCAAATTACCAATGCCATTAAGATAACAGTTTTTTTTCTTCAAGGTACAGCAGTCTAACAACATACACACTCTCTCTCTCTCTGAGATTCATAAATATGATAACTAATTCTGATTTCACAAATTCATTCATCTAGTAACAACGACCTGGAACTCAGGAAGACAAAACTTACGCTGCAGGTAATGTATGACCATAAGGACTAAAGAATATGAGGAAATGGTCATGTCCTTGGCATTGTTTATATCATGGTAGTGTGCCCAGAGCTTCACTACCAGCACCAGGGGACGAACTCGCCAATCCACTGTAAAAATACAAATCCAAGTCATTCACAAAAAAAAAAAAAAAAAAAAAAAAAAAAATCTGCAAATAAACAATTTGGTACAGAGAGCTATTATTTTGCTGTATAGGAAGAGCAACTAAATAGTAATAAATTAATTACTTGGAGGAAAAAAAAAAAAAAATGATGAATTACAATTTATAAATTCCACATTATACAACAATCACTTACGTTGAGAATAGGAGTTCAGAAGGTGAGTATTGCGGATCCCCACAGCATTATTGCAGTTGAGATCTACATCAATTTCTGAGTCAGAGTCTCTGAACTTGAGGATGGGAACTTTAGCTCGGATCAGTTCCATCTTCTGAATGAAACCTGAGGGAGGGAACGCATTGATGAAAGTTCACTGTCCTAGTAATGTAATGTACAAAATTGAATAGCATTTTAAAAGAAAGAATGAATCAAATGAAAAGAAAAAAGGTGGAAAATTTATTTTCATCCAAACAGATAAAAAAATAGAAGGCTCACTGAACTGTCAACAGATAAAATCATTTATACAAAGAACATAAACATATTTCTCTAACATGATAAATTTTTGTTCATGTTACCAACACAAGTGAATGCTCGCTCTCTCTCTCTCTCTCTCTCTCTCTCTCTCTCTCTCTCTCTCTCTCTCTCTCTCTCTCTCTCTCTCTCTCTCTCTCTCTCTCTCTCTCTCACTCATACTCACTCACACTCATACTCATCACTCAACTCACTACTTACTCACTTACTCACTACTCACTTCACTCACACTCACTCACTCACACTCACTCACTCAATCACACTCACTCACTCACACTCACTCACACTCACTCACACTCACTCACTCACTCACTCACTCACTCACACTCACTCACTCATCACACTCACTCACACTCACTCACTCACACTCACTCACTCACTCACTCACACTCACTCACTCACACTCACTCACACTCACACTCACACTCTCAACTCACTCACTCACTCACTCATACTCACTCATACACACTCACTCATACTCACTCACTCACTCATTTATAATCACTCACATTATCAACACATCTGTGGCTCTCTCTCTCTCTCTCTCTCTCTCTCTCTCTCTCTCTCTCTCTCTCTCTCTCTCTCTCTCTCTCTCTCTCTCTCTCTCTCTCTTTCACTCACACTCTCTCTCTCACTTTCACTCACACTCTCTCTCTCACTCACTCACACACTCACTCTCTCTCTCACTTTCACTCACACTCTCTCTCTCACTCTCACACTCTCTCTCACTCACACTCTCTCTCTCACTCACTCACACTCTCTCTCTCACTTCACTCACACTCTCTCTCTCACTCACTCACACTCTCTCACTCACACTCTCTCTCTCTCACTTTCACTCACACTCTCTCTCTCACTTCACTCACACTCTCTCTCTCACTTTCACTCACACTCTCTCTCTCACTTTCACTCACACTCTCTCTCTCACTTTCACTCACACTCTCTCTCTCTCACTTTCACTCACACTCTCTCTCTCTCACTTCACTCACACTCTCTCACTCACTCACTCACCACACTCTCTCTCACTCACTCTTCACTCACTCACTCACTCACTCACACTCTTCACTCACTCACTCACTCACTCACTCTTCACTCACTCACTCACTCACTCACACTCTTCACTCACTCACTCACTCACTCACACTCTTCACTCACTCACTCACTCACTCACACTCACTCACTCACTCACTCACTCTTCACTCACTCACTCACTCACACTCTCACTCACTCACTCACTCACTCACACTCTTCACTCACTCACTCACTCACACTCTTCACTCACTCACTCACTCACACTCTTTACTCACTCACTCACTCACTCACACTCTTCACTCACTCACACTCACTTCACACTCACTCACTCACTCACTCACTCACACTCTTCACTCACTCACTCACTCACACTCTTCACTCACTCACTCACTCACACTTCTCACTCACTCACTCACTCACACTCTTCACTTCACACTCACACTCTTCACTCACTCACTCACTCACACTCTTCACTCACTCACTCACACTCTTCACTCACTCACTCACACTTCACTCACTCACTCACACTCTCACTCACTCACTCACTCACTCACTCACTCACTCACCTCTTCACTCACTCACTCACACTCTTTCACTCACTCACTCACTCACACTTCACTCACTCACTCACTCACACTCTTCACTCACTCACTCACACTCTTCACTCACTCACTCACTCACTCACACTCACTCACTCACTCACTCACTCACTCACACTCACACTCTTCACTCACTCACTCACTCACACTCTCACTCACTCACTCACTCACACTTCACTCACTCACTCACTCACTCACACACTCACTCACTCACTCACTCACTCACACTCTCACTCACTCACTCACTCACTCACACTCTTCACTCACTCACTCACTCACACTCTTCACTCACTCACTCACTCACACTCTTCACTCACTCA